ATTCAGTATTTTTCAGTATCTATATCATGTTCAGATTATTTCATTGCTTTATTGCTTTGTTCAGTTATATGTTATTTCAGCTTTACTCTATCCTGCATGCTCAGTACCTTTCAAGTACTGACGCATACGTGCGCTACATCTTCTCGTGATGTAGGTTCAGGTTCTCAGCATCCAGATCACGCTTAGATCGATTCCCGATCTTCAGTTCAGCAGCATCAGTGGTGAGTCCTCATTCTTCGAGGACTAGTGACATGTTTATCTTTATCGCTTTTAGTCTTTAGTTTCAGTTTTTGCTAGATCTAGTTGGGGCATGTCCCAACATTTCTAGTCAGTTTAGAGGCTTATTTCAGACATAGATAGATTCAGCTTAGTATTGAGTTAATATCTTCCTTGTATTAAACTCATCAGTTTTCATTTATCTCAGTTATAGTATATGGGTATTCCCATCTTTTCATCTTATTTATGATTTAGCTTCCGCATCAGTTTATTATATTTAGTATGCTCATGATCATGCCAGCAGGGTTAGCTTGGGATCACTTGTGGTCCTAGGTCCCGTGTCCGCATCTCGGGGGTAGCTCGGGGCGTGACAACATCCATCATAAAAATAAAGCAGAATATTAAAAATAAGTAAATAACAACAAGAATTCAAATTTAAAGTCTACTTAAATCATAATATATTGATATTACAAGTTTATATTTCTCTTTGTCTAGTTATATTATTACTAAATTAACTATTTAGTTTTCTTATTAATATCTCTATTTGGTTCGAGTGATGTCATGTCAAAAAGTTATTTAATTTAATAGATATTTAAGATCATGAAAGTCATTTCTTCTTAATTGTACCCAAATATCATTGCATAATAATACTGTGTAATATTGTCTTGTAAATATTTATGTTAATATTTCAAAATTAGAATTTAAATATAAAAAATTATAAGAAAGTGGGCTGGACCGACGTGCCCCACAACCCACATAATGATGGATTGGGCTTGATGTCTTCTTGTCTACTAAAAATATGAGCTAGTCCATTTTGATATGTCAAATTTCAAAGCCCGTGTGAACTACTTTGGATAAACTTTAATGACGTATATTGATAGCTCTGAATCTAAATATGATTATACAGGTTAAAACTATTGAGTTTTTAAAATCATTGATGTCCGCGTGTGAATATAAATTTGTCCCTTGTGAGTCATTGATTTAAGACATCCCTTATGGTGTGCATGCTTGTGTTTGCGTTGTGAGATGACATGATGAATTGAATATTGTTGTTGCTGACAGAATATAATGATACAATTGAGAATGATACTTTGATTTGGACTCTTGGGGTTTAGGATTTAGGATTTAGGGTTTAGGGTTTGACTTATAAGCAAGAAGTCATAAGTTAGCAATTTTAACTTATGGCTTTTGAATTATTTTTTATATTTAGCTTAAAAATAAGTATTTATAAGTATTTATTTTATTTCAGTCAAATACTATAAAACTGTTTAAAAGTTATTCTAATGTAAAAACATCTCAAAAATGCAATTCAACACATGTTCTTATACTTTTTTAAAATTGCTTAATTGAGCTTTACATGGTAACATTTGCTCATTAAATGCACGTGGATATTTATTGTTTCCCTCCTTTTTTTAATTCTCTTCTAAGGGCATCCATTTTTTTACAAGAAGCCATAAGCAAATTAATGAACTATCGCCATATAAGTCAAATCTACTCTCTTTCATTTAAGCTAATAAAAAGAACCTATTCCATTAAGAATGTCACTTATCGATCTGTTATTGAGAAAAAAACAGTATTATAAGACTCAAATATGCCCAAATGTTAGATTGACTTTGCATTAAAATAAACTCCTGAAAAAAATTATGACTAAGAAAAAATGTGAAGTAACTCAAGATAATTTTAATTGGGTTCAATCTCAACTAGAAGTGGCAAACGAACGAGTCGAGTCGAATATGAGTCGATAAAAAAAGAGTTAAATAAAATGGATAATGTACTCGACTAGACTCACATTTTAAATGGTTAAGAACGAGTTACCCAATGGAAAATATGGATACCCATATTTACCCATATTATAATAGAAATCTTGTTAAAAACTTTAAAAATAAAATAAAAAACTTTAAACTTTTTTTTATCACTTCACTCCACCCCCCTACCAGCCCCTTTACCCCCCTATGGCCAAAAAATGTAAAAAAAAAAGAAGGAATCATTTTGTTTTTTTATATAAAGAAAACATTAAAAGTTTTTTAATCATCCAACCTCCCTCCCTCCTATTAGCGCCCCCGCCCCTCCCTCCACTCTATTCCAAAAAAAAGTTAAAAAAATTATAAGAAAATTCAATTCTTTTTTTATAAAGAAAACTAATTTTTTTACCACCCTACCGCCCAACACCACCCCCTAC